ATAGGCGCCAATTATAAGGTTAAAAAAGCCACCCAGTCACAAATGATAGGAAGCAAAGGGGAATCAGTGGAATTTCCATCTTTGGTGGCAAAAGAAACCGCAAACTGGGACTTATTCACAGGTAGATAAGTTCCAAAGATTGTACACTAAAGTCACGTCGCATATGAGAGACTCAGAAATAACGAATTTTGCCACATTAGGATTTAAACTACTAAGAATATCCTTAGGTTAGCAATAATGTGAAATTGACAAAGAGAGTAAAACAAGGGTTTGCACTCTTTCCTCGGTTCAGTGTTCAAAAGAACTAAATGAGGAAACAAGTGGTGAAGTGGAGCCCTAGGCTTAGGGGAAAATAATGTAAACCCAGAGTGTAACTACTACTTCTATTTATATATACGTTTACTAAACGTCAGCCTCGATTCAGATAGGATGCGGAGAAAAGATTAACTCAAAAAAGCCTGAATATAGAACTCGCACCGATTAGTGAACGTTGCCAACGTGATAGCATGTGCAGCCTCATTTTGAGCGAATCTGCAGATTTGAAGAGTTTCTCCGCTGAGCGGGTTCATCAAACGTAGGAGGCTAGCCCACATGCCCGGACCAGCCTTTGGAGACCCAAACACATCCTCCGGCAATGTCCGAGAAAGGAAGCCTGCCGCCTTCTCCCTCTCACGCACATCACCAAATGATGCGAGAATTCGCTATAGAGAAACCGAACTTTAAGAGAACATGGATAATTGAAATTCTCAACACGTGTACTTTTTAACCTAATCTATGCACGTTAAAAGGAGAAGTACTCACCTCGTTCATCTCTTTCCGCCTCTCCTCCTTCACTTCGTCCGTAAAGGCGCTGTGATCAGTTTCGATTATGAACATGTTATTTGATTCAGGATGGAAGACGAACCTTCGTGGTGTATACTGGAGGAGAGTGCTGGTCTGATTAAAAACCGCGCCCAACTTCTCCAAGGCTAGAATTCTGAGATGGACACACTTACATGATGCAAGCACAGACGCTCAAAACACAACAAGTAGAGCTCAGCATACCTGAGAGAGTTCTCGCAAATAGCCACTATTCCCTCAGGGCACTGTTCCGAGGAGAAACCCGAGGCAAATTCAAGAGCCTCATAGGAGAGTGGGATTATATGAAATCGACTCTGGTACATATAGGAAAGCCATGACCGACTAGACACCGCCAAAACCGCATCACCACCCTGCATGGCGACGCGAAATAGTTTAACAGGGCTTGTACCGAGGTAACGAGTTCGAGTATCTGAGAGCTCGCCCGTCACTGGATCTAACACCACACGGAAGAGGACGCCGTTGTTGAGGCCGATGTTAAGGTAGAGAATACCACCACCAGCCGTGTTTTCTGTTTCCGTGGCACCCATTTCAACAATACACAGAGATTCAGCTGCTGTCGGCAGGCCTTGCATTGTGAGGGGCGATAGACAATCCTGAGAAAATTACAGCAGTCAGTAAGAAAATGGATGAAGAGGACTTACGGAAGGGTCCAGTGAGAGGATTCGAACAGTGTTATCAGCCAGACCAACGGCCAGGAAGCGAGAACGCTGCTCGTTGGGCGGAATACGTCCAAGTGCCATGCAGATGACATCTGCAGGCATTTCCTTTCGTTCCGTGTATTCATTCAGCTGACCGGTGGCATCCATTTCAAAATACACCAACTCACCACCAGTTAGAGCGATGACTACCTGCCTTCGGTTCACAGCGCACCGTTGGATTGTCTTCTTGCCGGGAGTACGCCACACGTTTATGCGTTTATCTGCCCGGATGTGCCGAATGCCATCTGGGTAAACCTGCACTAGGGCATCGTCGCCCAATTGTGAGCACGTAAGAGTTGGCGTCGTACCCAGAAACCCTGAATCAGTCACTTCCTCCACGGTCTCGCCGATGGAGAGCACAAGAGTTGCGTTGACGAAAGAGACGATAATGAAGGAGTCGTACTCCTCTATGGAGCGGGGATTAAAGTGTTAAAGAATTACCTTCGGAATTCCGTTTTACTGTCCATACTGCGTTTGGGCTGCCGGGCAAGTCAGACTTGGCCATTTCAGTAACCTCTAAGCCATGTCGAAGAAGTCGGAATGTGGACCTCGGACCCCGACCACAAAGTACAGCCATTTGAGGAGTGTCTTCATTGGCCAGATCAGCAATCTAAACCAATGCTAGACTGGCAGGAAGTACTTACATGAAGACCGGTGATGGGGGAAAGGCTCTCAATGGTGTCAACTTCAATCAGGTTCTTCAATGGACGAGGTGAGAAATAAAAAGTATCACCTTCTTCCAGGGGCATGGCTGAAGAGAACTCAGGCTCGTCGTCATTATCACCCAGATGAGCAATTTGGTATA